TGACAAACAATTAAATTTTGCAACAAATATCAAAAACTAGGAAACTGTTGATACGGTGTAATAGTAGTGTGCTCAGGTAATAGTAATATAAAATTTTTCGTATTGTTTTTTAACTTATCATGTTTTTGGTTTTTTAAGAACTAATTTGAATATAGTACATTTTGGTGCATCTTATAGAAAAAAAGAGTTTGAAAGTTGTAAGTGAAAAAAATCTAATCTTTCATAATTTGACTTTGTTTTGTTCTGCGCAACGTAGTTTATGAATTAGCAAAAACGTGTCTGCTTTAAACAACAAAAAAGAAATAACAAGGCGAGATTTTAGAATAGAATTAGAACAGTAACTACGAATGGAATGCTATAATAAAGTCCTAGCAAACACAGGTCAAGCACACTTGCTAGTGGCTAGGAAAATCATGCTAATACATTAAGCCAGTATAGTTGTCTTATATTATAACATTTATATTATGAGAACATTACAACGCTTTTTACCACTTTCTGACTGGAAAAAATTATTTATTTAATAGTGAGGTGGTATTAACTGCTTTTAGCGCAGAAAAGGTTCTGCATAAGTTTATAGATAAGGTTGCTTATAAAAACTAGCAATTACTTGATCTACTCTTTGCTTGTTATTCTACGACAAAAAAAAAAAAACAAAGATGGCCATACGCTAAGTTCTGGAGTTTTTGAAGGCTTAAAATAACAGTTCTTCAAAAGCAATTCTACAACAAGGTATGTGTTATCAAGAGGCAGCTTATAAATAGTAAAAGTTGTAGTGTAAAGGTGGTACGGGTTGATACAAAGTAAAATATGATGTTACTGTTTCAAAAAAAGTGTAATTGCAAAGATCAGATTTTTAACAAATTTTTAGCCAAGAAAGGATCAGTATTTTAGGTTGCTTTATTTGCACAAAGGAATAAAGTGAGACTGTAATGAAAATATATTTTTATTACAAATTTTTTTTTTTTTTTTTTGCTGTAAAGTGGAAAACTATGTAAAAAAATGTGCCATTATTGATTTTAAGCTGATGTGGCTTTTTTTACTAATAATTATGAGTTTTTTGTGATAATCTCGTCACTCTTCTTGTATTGGTGAAATTTTAAAAAGTGCGCTCAAAAAAAGACAGCTTGTTTTAAAAAGCAGACAGTTGCTTACTTGTGCTAACTTAAATAACTAAAAAACTTGTAGGTAAACAAGTCATAATTAATGCTTTTTTAAACTGTTTCAAATGTTACAAACTATTTGCAGTGGTGTAAACAGTACCCAAAGCTCATAACTTGGATATGCACTACGAAGACTTAACACTTCTGCCATCATCCCTCCAGACCAAACAGAATTGAATGCATCATAGAAATATTTGCTAACCTAAAAATAGCAATATGCGATATTAAAACTTCATAAAACCAAAAAAAATGCACTACAGATAAAAACCAAGGTATAAAACACTAACTTTGCCTCCTCCTATAACTGATACTTTCTTAGAAAATACAGACTCTGCAGCCTCGACGACTAGTTGTGTAAATCCGTCGGTACCTCTGAAATACACTAAACGTTATTTATAAGAACTTGTTGCTTTGACGAAAAAATCTCTGTTTAGCTCAATATTTTTATTTTTTTACGCTTTAATTTTAGCTCTAGAAAAAATTTTTACAGCAACAACAACTGTATATACATATAATTTATTAACAATATTAGTAGTTACCGAAATGAAAGAATGATAGCTTTATAGTACGAAGAAAGACCAACAAAACCGGAGCAATCATCGTCTTCTGAGTCACACTGAACAGTGACTTGTTTCTTCAGCTGAAAACCGTACGCATAGGTTCTATTCTAAGTCATAAAAATAAAAGAATAGGAAGCGGTCAAATAATATAGTATTATTTCTTAACTGTTTTCAAAAAAAAAAAAAACTAACTGTAGCTCCATGAATAATATTTTTTAGGCACTCATTTGGTTTACTGGTGTATGCAGCGCCGCTAATTCCCATCATTTTTTTTGCAAAACTTTCCTCATATTCATACCCATTTGAGACTTCTATTGGGCAGTCATATATGTCACTAATTTTGTTTCCAAAAACGCATTCTAAACCTGATATGCTGACACATTTTAAAGTATGACTACACCAGCTGAAAAAAATTCCTCTATGACGATAACAGGAAAGCACAGTTGTTTGTTGCTATATAAGTTTTAAATTTTCCACATCTCTATACAGCGTTTATACGCTGCTTAAATTGAAGTTATCAAAACAATTTGTAAAGAAAACTGAAGTATTCCAATTCCAAAAAATAGATAGATAAATAAATAGAAGCAGAAATATAGTATCCGTATGAAATTTGCAAGACCTGCACATCTGAGAGCCGTCACTGTCCACTGCTGAATCACACTGACGACACGTATTGTATTGGTTGCAAGAATCCGCGTATATTATCGGTACAATCAGCAGCATCAAGAGCAGTTGTTGCCTCATCTTATTCCTGTATTTGTGTGTGCTTCCCCTGCAAAACAGTAAAAAAGTATTTGATAAGTATAAAGATACATATGTGACAATTAATTCGAAAAAAATATCAGCATTTAAGCAAATAAATGCAAGTTTTTTGATGTCATTTATTACTGAACGCAGAAACTTGATAAAACAAAAGTAAAAAGATACAGATGAAAGTCTCCAAGCATATGGGAAACATAATTAAACAAATTCAGTATTTTGGTATCAAACAAATCTGATTTTTGGGTTACTGTCGCTGGAACGACAAGGAGAAACCAGGCTAGACAGTTTTTTGGTGTACATCTAAAAATTTGCTTCATCAGTTAGGCTTTTTAAAGTGAATGAAGTGAATTGTTTTTCGTTGCATTTTTATACTAGAACTAATTTGTATAAACGGCAATTTTTTATTGCCAACTGTCAAAAACAAACAATAAGTAACTGATAATGATAAGCGCTTATATTTTACTTGGTAAATAAAGAAAAAAAATAACAAAGAAAAGGGGAGAAAAAAAAAGAAAATAAGTTTCTTTTCATCGTGTTACTGTTTCCTGTAAACGTTAACATTGGCTTATAAAAGCACCAAAAATTAATTGATCAAAACGAATAGACTAGAATGCTATTGTCAGAAAAAAAAAAAAGATAGCTTTCTTTTTTTTTTTTTTTAT